AGGAGAGAGAGAGAGAGAGAGAGAGAGAGAGAGAGAGAGAGAGAGAGAATATTGTGTTATTCGAAGGCACACAACAATGTTTGAGAGAATAGGGGAGGGGCAGAAGAAGGGATGCGCCCCCGGGCGCGGCGCGTCACGTCAACGGACGTCTCGAGGAGGGCGGCAGGAAGGGGAGGAGGAGTGGAGGGGGTTTCTGAAAGTGATGAAGTGGCAATGAAATGGCGTCGTAAACCGCTCCCCACTCGTCGTTGTTGCACCTAGAAAGTCGGGCTCAGGCACGGCAGGCACAGCCTCCCTGACCTGCCGCTGCGCCGCTGCGCCCTCGCACACCTGGCCGGCGCTCCTGGTGGAGCGCCGTCGGCCGGACTGGAGAGGGCGCGCGCAGGAGCTGGAGAGAAGAAACCGCCAGGCAGACGCAGATGAATCGGCCTGGACTGGCCCCGGGCCCCGCCCACCGCGACTTTAGCCTTCCAGCGACACCATGATTTAACGCCGCACAAACTTTTTGCCCTTTGCTTTGTGTGTGTGTGTGTGTGTGTGTGTGTGTGTGCGTGTGTGTGCGCGCGCGCGCTTCTCTCTCTCTCTCTGTGTGTGTGTGTGTGTGTGTGTGTGTGAGATAGAGAGAGAGAGAGAGAGAGTGTGTGCCCTGAAGCGCGCGCGTACGTGTATAGTGCGACGCCCTCCTAAGAGCAGGTAAGACCCGATCCAGAGGGGAGCAGCTAGCGTCGCGCTCATGCTTCTCCAGCGGCTCTAGTAGTGCTGCGAGCAAAGCATTCCCGTCCAAGCCTCGCCTCCAGCAGCAGCAGCTCTGGAGTCTCTCTCCCGTCCTCTACCCCGCGCTTACGGCTAAGTATTGGTAAGTAAGTGCCTCTTCGGCCATAAAGTTTGTCGCTCTGGCGATTTTTTGGTCCTCCACCCCCCCCCCTCTCTCTCTCTCTCTCGCCCCCACCACCCCTTCACCCCGTCTGTGAAATGCGCGCGCCGCCAAAGATTTATATCTCGACTTCCGACTTCATTTGTAACGCCGCCCAAAGCGATATATACCAGGCCAGATAGGGAGGAGTTGGCCTCACGGCCTCACAACTGCCGCCCCGCGGCCTCGGCGACTCAATCCGACACAACAATCGGAAAGCGTTGCAACCTCTGCTTTTCGAAAACATTTCAACCAAAAATAGCAGCACAATTTTGTTTTTGTTTTTTTGCATTTCTGGAAATAATTTGTCATTTTTCGGAGTACTAGCTCACAGGCAAAGTAAATTTTAAAAAAATGGCACGGAAGAATTATAAAAGTTGTGGAGGGAACCATGGTATTGCCCGCGGACAAAACTCCTTGCAGCGCGACGGACAGCCTCGGCTTCCTTCGCTTCAACTTGCCGCCACCCTACCGCGCGCGAGAGAGTTTCAACCTGAACGCGTTCATTCTCCTCCTCCTCCAGCAGCAGATGGCGTAAAGTTCCAAAACATTTGTCTCTAGTGCGGGGCGCAGCGGGGCGCTGATGCAAACAGGTGATCACCATAATGTAACGGATCGAGCCCCCTCCCCCCCCTCCTCCTCCCTCTAACCTCCTCCAAAGTCGTACGCGCCAAATCGGAGTGTCATTTCCAGGTCGGCGGCGGAACGCGTTGTGGAAGTGGCGACGCGCCGCCAAGTTGGTGTGGCTAGTGAGCACCGGCGCGAGGAAAGGAGCCATAGAAACTCTTCAGTTGCTTCAATAATACCGTCCCGACGACAAGTAGTTGTGTTAAAGATTCGATGAGCTGCAATATGCAATATATGAAATTTTATTTCATGGCGGCTCGCCGTTCGATCGTCTGTTCGTACGACAGAATACCAAGTTGTTCTGTCAATTTTTCATTACATATTTGGATTCCACGGCAAGGCTTGTAATGGGCACTGCAATATAATAGCCGCAATCATTGTAGAGCTACTCGAGTTTCGGAATAACCCGAACATCTGCCGCCAAGCAGCAGAATACAATTTCAGCTTTGCCAGCCGAGACTCTGACCCTATAGTGTCCATAAGGCAAAACTGGAATATTTGGAAAGGTCCAGTCCATTGGTGTGTCATTCAACAGGTAAATCTCCTATAAATAGAAGACATCACAAATTTCACATTTTAAAAACGCCTTCGTGTTAGGCCGCAACATTTGTTGGTCTTCCACGTCGACTACCAGAAAAAAATATGTAACCTTGAACATAACAGTATGGAGAGGTCAGACTACTTACAGGTTTGAATTTGCACGTGCCTTCAACTCCTCCCTGCTTATAAAGGAAATTGAAAATTCCAGGCATATTTTCTCTGAAAGCTCGACATGGGTTGTTTTTAAAGTCAAAGACAAAGGCGTTTTCCTTCCATTGGTTGTTTGACCGAACATCCACAACTGCTTTGCCCTGTTACGACACACATTTGATGAATAAACGAAATCACAGTTGTATTGGCAATGTCTTGTCGTACCCAGCAGCTGTCATCATAACTATAAGTTGAACCCGTCACATTGCCCGTAAGGCGTTGAAGCTCTTTTGGTTTACGTGGGTTGAAGTGAGAATGACGTATATACCATTTCCAGGGAAGCGTGGGGTTGACTGGCTCACACGTGTAAAAGCGTTCGCCGTATGTAATGTAAGGACCCTATTGAAGAATTAGATACGAAACATCACCGTTAGTAAAAACGTCAAAAAGAATACGGATTGTCGAAATGAGACCTAATGATGTCATTTTGACAAGTCGACGGGGTTCGATCAGCACACGGTTATCAAAATAGTTCAAATATCAAACGGGCGTTATAATCTAACTTACTATCAAAGAGTTGATGACTTTGCCGTGGATGGCATCAGTGCCAATGAGTGCTAGGAGGGGCACGAGTAGGAACATGTTGGAACACCAGAATACTAGCAGTAGAAAGGAAAGTGGTTTACGGCAGTTATTGGCCGTGGTGCGACCCACGACCACCTCCTCTATAACACTGTGCGGCGGTCATGCGCGGTCAGCAGCGGTACAGTCACCGGCTCTCTACAGACAAAAACTAAAGCATAAAACAGGAACAAAATAAGATCGATATCAGGATTTAATACACGAAGAGGTCGCTAGCCTTGTTTCCAGTTGATTGCAACAGTGTAATGATATCGCGCACGAGAGGAACTACACTCACAAAAAAAAATCATTGATCCACCGACCGCCGTGTTCTTGTGGCGAGGTTGTTGGTTCAAATGTGTCACTAACCCTATGGCAGCAGGTGGTTGTGCTACCGGAGCATGTCGTTAAGCCAGCAACAATGTCGAAACGGCATCCCATCACTGTTAAATTCCTACAAAGCAATGCTTTGTAGAACTGCAAAGTATTTAGATCCTTCAGTAATTACGAAGCATTTACTTGGCAATAGCATAAGCCTTGCCTTGCAGCATGTTGCTGGTATTGCTGGCAATACTTCATCGCTTTGTAATTGCAAAGTAAATGCATCGTAGTTACAAAGGATCTAAATACTTTGCAATTCTACAAAGCATTGCTTTGCAGGAATTTAACGGTGCATGTCCCTGAAGCCATTCTAAGGACAAAATGTTGTAGGTGCTGTGACACACATTGTTGGAGAAATGAAAATCTTTTTATTTGTCGTGCAAACAACTTTCAAATACACTTTTCACCTTCCTTTTATGTTTTCATAAAGTCTTGTACAAAAACTGACTGTAATTATGTTATACATTTCCACGCAGCACTAACACTGAGAAAAGTTTCCTACACGTACGGAATTGACTGACAGTAGACTGCTGGACTAGGTTGGGGTTCAGGTTGGAGACCTTCGATGCAGGGCAGACGGACCGCGGGCAGAAATAGAGGCGGACACCGAACGTCTATTTCAGAGAGCGGAGTGAGAGAGCGCCGTGTGAGCGAGAGATCGGGGGGAAAGAGAGGGGTGAACCAAAAGGGGGAGGGAGGGG